ACACTGTGCATTATCCATTCTTTCCTGCTACGTTTCTTGTGACATTCCCATCTTTTCCCATGGCTTCCCGACCGCAATCCCGAGATGCTTTGGGAACGAGCGTGGCTTCTTCTTCTTTACTGGCGGTCGTGGTCCTCCCTTGTTGACCACGACAGCAGTGACTTCCCCCTTCCCGGAATCACTGCTGCTCGCCACACCCTCGGCCTCAAATGGCCACTTCTCCACAGTATCGTCATCAAAGACGACGAGGGTGTGGTCCTGGCGCTATCCGCTTTCCTGCACCTGCACCACCACCAAACTTGACAACAGATGCATACGAGTTTCTTAACTTGCGAGGTCATTTGCTCTCGTTGGAGAGCCAGATCACGAAACTGCCTATAATTGTACTTGCTTGACTTAGACTCTGCCACAAGTTGTCCACGCACACAGAGCACAAGAATATATGTATAAGACTTGGTTGTCTTGCAGGTTCAATCCAAGAACCTGCAGCAACCGGTTAACTTCCCGAGACAAAGCTTCTACCGAGGTCCAATGTTTTTGACCAATGGTAGTGAGCTGGTCAAAAGCCTGGTCGGCCGTTGTCTTATCCAGGAAGCGTTCCTTGATCTTGCCAAGGAACTGCTTTAGAGTCAAGGTTGCAGACCACTCCCCAATGTCATCGAACCCCGCTGCGTTGGCTTCGGCCAATACCCATTCCTTAGCTTCTCCCCCAAGACAAGAGGTAGAGAAAGCAACCTGGGACTCGGGTTCAACAGGGGCCGTACTACAGTACGTCTGAATTTCAGCAATCCACAACAATAAATTTTCATTTTTTTTGTTGCAGAACGTGAAAGGCAGTTTCATCTTTACCTTTTCTTTCTTTTTCGGTTTTCCGGATCCGCACTTACCTTGACTGGCAACTTTTGAGAATCAAGAGACTTTGGTGGTGGAGAGGGAGGAGGAGAGCTTGGTGGTGAAGATGGCGGACTCGGAGGTCCTCCATTAGACGACTTCTGATCTTTAGGAACAACGGACTTCATTGCGTCACTCATCAATTTCTTCTCTTCTTTCTTATCTTCCTTACCTTCTACCGGATTCCTCCCTTTCACAATATTTGTGACAGTTCGTAATCCTACAGCAATCTCGTCTAACTGATTTTGTTGTCTCTCGATTTTTTCTTCCAAGAAGGTAAGGTAAGTCATGATGTGATACAATGTTTGTGTTATGTCCGTCTGTTCCTTATCTTCTGTTCCTATTACCTGTCCGATTTCCTTTACCTTTTGTTATCGTCTGAGTTCCTGTTCGTGTTTCCGAGCTAGTTCTTCTTTCTTCCTTTCTTCTACAACCAGCGCCTCTATTAAACCACCACTCCCCCCGATGGCCAAAAGTCTGCTTTCCGGGTAGTTAGGGTCGGGTTTTGAGGGAGGTCGACGACCCGTAGTCCCAAAAAAAAAAAAAAAAGGKGAAAGAAAAGAACTGCTCTTACATTGGCTGGGGCCGGAAATGTTGACTCTCCCCTAGAAACGTGCCGTACAGGTGCCCATGAAAAACGTGCCTTCTGTCACTTGCTTGCGGGCATGCAGGAAAAACAGTGGGCAACTCAAGGGAATGAATCTCCCTGTATTTATGGGAAGATGCACTCACCTGGAGTTGGATGGAAGTTGTCCTATTCCGGCGTTGGAGGGCAGAGCGGGTTGAACTTTATCTCACCGTAGGACAAAGCATATCCACGGAGGCAAGGGTTTCGTCTTTGAAAGGAAGTAGATGCGAAGAGGAGCTCGTCCTGTTCCCCTTCTTTTTGTTTTTTTGTGCAAGTGGAGGTAGTTTGCAAAATGGGCACAAAAAAACAAAAAATATAAAAAGAAAAGAGACGGGCACAAAAGGGACAAATATGGATGTGTATCTTTCCATTCTTGTGCGAAAGATTCATCATCAATTTCCACTGCTGGTGAGTACTGGAGCGCGGGCGGGTTGTGAGACGAGGCAGCTGTGAACATACGGCCCTTGCTGCACTGATCACCATATGTGCAAAATGAGAATGAATCTTCCCCTGAAAAAGGGAACGTGCACAGCCATATTTGTTGTGCTTTCCAAAAAGGCGGGTTTCACCCAAGGCTTCTCTTTGTGATACCTCAACGCCATCGGGGCCCATAGTTTTTTATTTTTTATTTTCGTGTATTTGTTTTTTTCGCGCTTTTGTCTCTATGCAGGGTATAGAGGCACAGAGCCCTTGCAGGTCGGGGCAGGCTTCAGACCCCTTCAGAGGTCGTGGCAGTTACTGCTGCCACTAGTACAGATGCCTTTTCTGAAAATCGCCCTACCGGTCCCCCCTACTTTACGACGTCGGGGGGAGCGGTGGTTTAATTGCTGGATGTTCGCATCAATCGTAGCCTCGGTCACTTTTGGTCTGATTTCCCCTTTCCTAGACGACTCCATGACTTCTTCCAGCTGCTTGATAGCAAACTGGTCCAGCACATGCCGACACTTGGCCATCATTTTAGACACTTCGCCCCCGATAGCCACAACTTTCGCGGTCGTAATTGCTTGCTTCAGACGGTTCTCTACCGTCTGCAAATCAAACAGATTACGAACGTGTCGTTCGGCGTCCGGTCCGGATAAAAGCAAATCATTCATTAGCTGGTTCCATAGAGTCAGTAACTCTTGTTTCTTTGTTTCCGCCTGTTTCCTAGTCTTGGGATCGGAGGATCCTTCGCCCACAATGAACATCATCGGGAAAAGAAGCAAGAGTATTTTCCATATGCTAAACATCTTGGACGTTAGGTTGGAGAAAATATTTGCAATAATGAAACAGAAAAACAAAGAGAAATAAGGAACAGATCTCTACTTATGAAACGGTTTTCACCTGTTAGCAGTAGCGAATGCAGATCCCAGGGATCGATCCCCAGTCCTCACTTTACCTGTGTACAGTATATATGTCGACCCCGAGTGTTTGAACCCGTGACCTGTGTTTTGATAGTCTTCGTTGTCTGTCGTAGGTCTGTGTAGTGGTAGGGGCTCGATCTCTAGGTCTGTCGAGTAGGAGTCATTGCCCTGTAGAGGTCGTAGCTGTAGGAATCCTGAAGGTCAAGGTCGTAGCTGCTACAATCTTGAATGGTCAAGGTCGTAGCTGCTACAGTACTCGAAAGGCCAAGTCCACAAACTTCCGGAAGGTCCGGAAGTGGCCTTTCGAAGCTCCCTCACGTTTTAGTCAGAGGCAAGTGGGCAAGGGGTGAGCCTAGCTGCACTACGTCGGTAGTGCGACTACCTTGAGTTGGCAGTGCAAACCCATGCAGTCAGCGGTACCGGTCCAGTCAATCCCAGTCCAGTCAAGCAAATACCATGAGGGACTGTGTGCACCACGGGCATGGGCAAGGGCCAGACCAACAAGCTACAAAAGTATAAATTGAGAGGCAGCGACCAGCCATTCATTCATTTCTGCGTAAGCCATGCGGAAGCGCTGCCACAGCGACTTGTGCGAGGTGGTCTGCAGTAAGCCCGAAGACGAAGTGGGGCGAGAAGGAAGCTTAGCCATAGCGATAGGGTAGCAACGACCATAGCCGCCATAGCTGATAGGAGAGAGAGTAGCGTGTGTGAGTGTGCGTGCATACAATGTGTTGCGTGTAGGATATCCAGGGTAGTCCTGTGTGCGAACAACAGTGTTGAGTAAGTGACGAACAGAGAGTTGTACAGGCGATGTGCCGCCATAGCCATTTGAAGTGAACTTGTATCTGAGCTACGTTCTTGGTTACTATATCTCTGAGTTTGGAGTGGGCGCTTGACGCCAGTGTGCTGCGCAACCTGTTTGCATGCATGCGAAGTGCGACTGGAAGCGAGTCTGATTGCATTGGCATCGGAGCAGGTACCCGCTATCCCATGCGCCATCGCCGTTGCAGCAGGAGAGAGACGCGCGCCGTAGGGCGCCATAGTTGAGGAGCGTCGTTGAAGAGGGAAGTCCGCCATAGCTTTGCTGCGGAAGAAGGTGCTGCGTACCTGCAAGGAAGACAACGACGAAGAGAGAGAGAGAGAGAGAGAGAGAGAGAGAGAGAGAGAGAGAGAGAGAGAGAGAGAGAGAGAGAGAGAGAGAGAACTGAGTGATACAAGATTGGTTCGCTACGCACCGACGCTGAAGACATCACCACGGAGAGAGAGAGTTGAGTGATACGAGATTGGTTGTGCGGTCCAAGACGAAGTAGCGGCCATAGCCGCGGAGCTCGAGACACGGAGGAGAGAGGAAAGTGAAGTAGGGAAGGGAGGAGAGATCGGAGAGGAAGAAGGAAGGAGGGACAACGAAGTGGAAGGCAGACAATGGGGGTGAACAAAAAAAAAAAAAAAAAAAAAAAAGAAGGAAAAAGGGCGAGAAAGAAGAAAGGTGGAGGAGGAAGAGAAGGGAGTTTGGCGAGGAAGAAGGTGCCGGCAGCCATAGCCGACCTAGAGGTTGACTGTGCGTTGACCAGAGGGTTGACCGGAGCGTTGACCGGGGTGTGACCGCGTTGACCAAGCATTGACTGAGGCATTGACCGGAGCCGTTGACCACGATTTTGACCAAGTTGGAGTTGGTATAATCTCGCCAAGCCCTTAGCCTATCCCCTCGCCCTATGGATGTGCACTCACCCTATGGTACTTGCCGAGTCTGAGTCTGTATGTCTCTTCTTTCTGCATCGAGTCTCTTCTGCCCAGGTGATAGGACTCCGTGTATGAAGGATAGGGCCTTGTTGACCAAACCCACACGGGCTGAGTAGGGCTAAAGACTGTGTCTGACGACTCGACTGTCCCGGAGGACAAGAACCCTCCCACGGACCGGTACTGACCGGCGAGCTGCTCGGTGTGGCACAGTAGGCCCAAAATCCGAGTTGTGGGCCTGCACAACAGGCCGTCTAAGTCTTGAGAGGATCTGCTGACCGCGTCGTCCTGTTTGCGACGTTAAAGAATTCCTGAGGAGTTACGGGGGATCTCCTTAAATGCCTCCTGGTCAGCAACAAATCTTGTAGTGACGGCTGTAGTATTAGAGTCCAGGCTAGAGACCATAGTTGTCACGGTTCTATATGGATCTTGTGGTCCATAGACTGAGTCAGTTTCAGGTAAGTTGGTCAGGGGGGACGTCTAAGTGATGAGGAGTGGAACCGTCTCTTGGTTGTGCGTCTATCACCATGGTTGACACGCGTACAGGAACGAGCACCTCCCCTTACACAGCAGAGCAGGATGCGAAGGCCGCCGCCATCCTAAGGAGAGAGAAGAGAGAAGGAGGAGGCCAAGAAGAAGGCCTTGATAGAAGAACATGCGACGAAGTTGAAGAAGATCGAGGAGGAGATAACCAGAGAAAAAGAGAGGTTAAAGAAAGAAGAAGAAGAACAGCTCAAGGCGGTAGAAGAGGAGGGAGAGGTAGAAGAACAGCCACTGGAAAGGCGAAGGACAGGAGGAAGAGTAGAATCCGGTGGAACAAAGGAAGATCAGATGGAGAAGAAGATTACGGAGTGGGTTGCTGGTTTATCCCTGGGAGAAGAAGATGAGGCACTAATGTATGTGCCCAGGGAAGAACAAGAGGCGACCATGAGAGAGTGGGATGCAGAAGAAGACCCACTCAAGCAGCAGGCAATAGAATATGAGAAGAGGATGGAGTGGAAGTTCCTGCTGACGAGGGAGAGGAAAAGGAGAATGGAGGCGGCGAAAGAATTGGAGGAGGTAAAGAAGCAAAAAGCACAGATGGCGATGCAGGTGGACCTTCTGGGGAAGATGGAGATCATGGCGAGAAACATAGAGAGCCTAGCCCAGGTCCAGGAAGAACAATATTTGTTTGGTAGAGGTCAGAACATTGCCTTGCGCTCTCTACGTCTGGGACTCAGGGACTTTGCAAGGGAATCAACGACGCAGGTGGGCTCAGAGGTGAAGGCCCGCCTAGAGGGCACAGAGCGTTATTGCACGGGCGCCATAGAAGGCGCCAGACTGGCTGCTCCCAAGCAGGAGGAAGCACGTCCCCGAAGGGAGGCTGTCAAGGTCAAGTTCCCAGACTCCTATAGCAGGAAGAAAGAGGATAATTTTGATGATTGGGAAGCCAATGTCAAAACTTACGTACATCTGCAGAAGGTCTCCCCGGACGAGCATGTTCTTATAGCCGTTCATGCCCTCCGAGACGAAGCAGTAAGCTTCGCCCGTTCCTTGTGTCGTGCTGCCAACTGTAATGATGATTTAGTCGCTTATTCTGTGTTCACTCCCCTCACTGACTTCCTTAAGTTATTGCGCGAACGATTCGCAGATGTCTCACGCAGTGTCAAAGCCTTCGATAGATTCCAAACCATCCACTCTTGTCAGTGGAAGAGTGCTAGAGCACTCAAGGGTGTGATGGACGAGCTAGTCGCCGTCTCGGACCATGGGGTCACTGAGACCCAACTGGTCAACCTCTTCTATCGTGTGATGCCCGAACAGCTGCGCGGGCATTTCTTTGAGAAGAGTCAGCAGCCTAACATGACCTACGACGCTTTGAGCAGGGAAGTGGTAGCCTTTGAAACGCGGTTCATGTCAATCTCCACTTTTTGGCATAAGGACCTAGACAAAGGCAAAAAGTGGAAAGGTCGCACCATCTCACGGCAGGTCAAGACCAAGGATCGCTTGATCCTTACCTTAGACGAGAGTGGTGTAGACGAAGTCCGCTACGAGTAGATTGAGTGGGGGCTTGAGGAAGAGGAAAGTAGCATTAGTCAAGGGAGGACCTACGCTGCTGTCGCGGCTGGAGGAAGGCCGCAAGGAGGAGGCAGAGGCCAGGGCCAAGGGGGCTGGGCCTCAGGGGGCCGTTCCCAGAGCGATCACGGGGTTGGCGGTAGATGAGGAAACCGCCAAGTGGGAGGAAGGGGTCAAGGTCCCCCGCAAAACCGTTCGGGGAATGGGTCGCCCAATAGAGGGAATAGATCACCGAATAGGGGAAACAGGGCACCCTCTTAGAGAGGTGGGTGGCGCCACAGGGTCGGCCTTGGGAAGACTTGGGCCTGGACCAGCGTTTATGGCAACAGCGTGAGGATCAGGGGCGGTGCATATATTGCGGTGACCCTGGCCACATCATCAAATATTGTCCGAAGTATAGAGAGGCCCGTTCGACTGACCAGGGGTCAAAAGGCAGCCGCCGGTCGGGGTAGCAACCGCCCCTACCACAAGGCCATGTGGGGAAGCGGGCGCGAGCCGGCAAGAAACTCCCACACCACATGTGCCAATGGCAGAGGGTGCAGGTCAGTGCCTAGATAGCTGTCCAAAGACTGCTTGTGTCAGAGTCTCTCTAGGCACTTCCTTCACAGGCGTGGCCGATGAGTTAAAGGAGAGAATGCCTGCCTGGGCCAAGATGAAGGAGGAGAGTAAGGGACAACTAGTTTTAGTAGATGTAGAGATTTTCAGAGGTAGAGTAGGGGCCCTAGTAGATAGTGGGGCCACGCGCAGCTATGTCAGTAGAAAGGCGTTGCAGAAGTTGAAGTTAGGGCTAAAAGTCCAGAAGTTAGCAGACCCCATGTAGAGGGAGTCCAGACGTACTTTCGCCTAGAGAAAGATGGGAAGGTGGAGAAAGTTCTCTATTCCCTGACTCTCCTCGTAGAGGACAGCCTTCCTTTTGACATAGTCCTAGGAATGGACTGGGGAGAGGCAGCAGGGGCCACACTCCATTTGAGAGAGCACGAGTGTAGGCTCCCTAGCCCGTCAGGCAGGGTCAAGACTGCCCGTCTGTTTCATGTGTCAGGAGTAGACAACTCCCTGGCACATTGCTGCCTTGGCGCTCCTGCGTTCGCGACGTTAGTGAAGAAGGAGCAACTAGAAGAACAGGTTTTTGTAGCCTATGTTAGGCCAGTTACTGAGCCTAAAGAGGAAAAGCCCATAGATCCCGCCATTGCCAAGTTGCTGGAAGAGTGCACAGATCTAGCTAAGCCGCCTACAGGGGTCGTCCACAGAAACAATATAAGGTCCGGTTTGCTTATCAAGAATCGAGGACGACCGCTGGTTTACTAGAACAAAACTTTTGGAAACAACTCCCGATGTAGTTAGAGCCTACGAGAGAGGTAAGAAAGGTAAAGGTCCTGCCTTCGACTGAGTTATTCTCGGAGGACCTCGAATTCAGGTCGGTGGGAGTGAAACGGTTTTCACCTGTTAGCAGTAGCGAATGTAGATCCCAGGGCTTGATCCCTAGTCCTCACTTTACCTGTGTACAGTATCTGTGTCGACCCAGAGTGTTTGATCCTGTGACCTGTGTTTTGATAGTTGTTGTTGTCTGTCGTAGGTCTGTGTAGTGGTAGGGGTTCGATCTGTAGGTCTGTCGAGTAGGAGTCACAGCCCTGTAAAGGTCGTAGCTGTAGGAATCTTGAAAGGTCAAAGTTGTAGCTGCTACAGTCCTGAAAGGTCAAGGTCGTAGCTGCTACAATACTCAAAAGGCCAAGTCCACAAACTTCCGGAAGGTCCGGAAGTGGCCTTTCGAAGCTCCCTCACGTTTTAGTCAGAGGCAAGCGGGCAAGTGGTGAGCCCATCTGCATCATGTCCACAGTGCGACTGCCTTGAGTTGGCAGTGCAAACCCATGCAGTCAGCGGTACCGGTCCAGTCAGTCCCAGTCCAGTCAAGCAAGTACCATGAGGGACTGTGTCCACCACGGGCATGGGCAAGGGCCAGACCAACGAGCTACAAAAGTATAAATTGAGAGGCGGCGACCAGCCATTCATTCATTCCCTCGTAAGCCATGCGGAAGCGCTGCCACAGTGACTTGTGCGAGGTGGTCTGCAGTAAGCCCTAAGACGAAGTGGGCGAGAAGGAAGCTTAGCCATAGCGATAGGGTAGCAGCGGCCATAGCCGCCATAACTGATAGGAGAGAGAGTAGCATGTGTGAGTGTGCGTGCGTACAGTGTGTTGCGTGTGGGATATCCAGGGTGATCCTGTGTGCGAGCAGTAGTGTTGAGTAAGTGATGAATAGAGAGTTGTACAGGCGATGTGCCGCCATAGCCATTTGAAATGAACTTGTATCTGAGTTGCGTTCTTGGTTACAATATCTTTGAGTTTGGAGTGGGCGCTTGATGCCAGTGTGCTGCGCAACCTGTTTGCATGCATGTGAAGTGTGACTGGAAGCAAGTCTGATTGCACTTATACTAATTGTTGTTCTTTTGTTTGTGTGATGACGTCCTATTCGAGAGTGTACAGGTACCACATCAGGCCCGTGTGATCAGATACAACACACAAGTAAGAACGCACCACACCACAACACAGCAAACGACAAAGTAAGTATGCCAACAACAAACAATTTGTCAGCACCCTTCTTCTTTCTGCTGAGTCATCCAGGTGTCAATGCGATGATGCACCCTCCTTGACAACTGGCACTACAGCTGTCTCGTCAATCGTTCAAGCAGTCGTACCAACGTCGTCTTCGGAGTGCTTCTCTTACTTGGCAGCTACTTGCCTGCCACGTGTCATCCCTAGAGTGCTAACATAGCACATCCTGCCACGTCAGCACTAATGTCCAGTCAATCAATAAAGGGATGCCACGTCAGCAAATGTGTGCTTCGTCCTTCCCACGTGCCACTTCCATGCGTCGTGTCGTGATATCGTTTTTTTCTGAATGGGGAGGAAGATTAAAATTAGAAATGGATAATAAAAGACGTATCTGGGTACGTCTAAGCAAAAAACGTAAAATACCCGTTTTACTTTTATTACTTGCAATGGGTTTAAATTGGAAAGATTTAGAAAAGTCGATTTCTCGGCCATCACTTTCATTGTCTTATTTAAGTAAAGAAAGAAAAGGATGTGATCTTAGAACTTGCTTATACTAAATATACCATAAGTGGTAATTTGGCTTTTTGGCTTTTAAATCTTTCTGAATTTTTGACTTCTTTTTATTCTTTTCGTTTACTTTTTCTCACTTTTCTTGCTCCAACCAATGCTTTTAAGTGAGACATCGAAAGATGTCATGATGCTCCTACTATGATGGCAATCCCTTTAGTGCTCTTGTAAATTATGGCCTTTTCCCGGAATGTATGCAATAACCTCATTTCGATTGGTTAATCTCACTTTAGCTATTTTGCGTAAAGCTGAGTTGGGTTTTTTTGGTGTCCTAAAGTTTCCAGATTCGTCCAACTTTGTATTTTGGAATCATAAACAGTATATTGAAATACAGTTGTACTCAATTCTGTTGGTAATATTGAATGTAATCATTATCTACAACTAAGAAAATTTCCAACAAAAAGATAAGTCCAATAATACCACCTACAGGCAAATAACGTAATACATTTTCGTGAATTTCTGCTATCTTTATATTTAGCATCATAACCACAAATAAAAATAGAATAGCAATAGCTCCTACATAAACAACAAAAAAAATCATAGCAAAAAAATCAAGACCTAATACCACAAGTAAACCTGAAGTATTACAAAATACTAAAATGAGAAATAAAACGGAATGAACTGGGTTTTCTAACACGTATAACCATAACGCCAGAAACTAAAGCGATGCTTGAAAAAATAGAAAAAAATATCATTATAGTGATTAATCTTTCTCTAGCTAGCGAGCCTACGACCTTTGCTTTTTTCCGAGTATATTAGATTGCTTTGGCTTTGAGAGATCGATCATCAAAAGCTCCGTAAAAAAAAAAGAGAAAGGCCGTTCCAGCCAATTGGACAATGCCACGTCAGCCAATGGAGACCGATGCCACGTCAGCAGGAAGTCAACACCTCAAGAAGACAGGTGTGATGACTTCTTCCCTGCCATGTCAGCAATCAGTCCTGACTTTCCCAAAGGCTACGTCAGCTTTTGTAACAGGCCTGGTCGTGCATAAGCTGCTAATGCAGCGTGAGAATGCCACGTCAGCAATCACCAACAACCAGGTCTTCAGACGCGGCACATGATATGCCACGTCAACAAGGGATCGCGATGCCACTTCAGTATCGCGATCTAGGCTGGCACGCGGTAACTCTTGATCACGGTCCCTACTGCCACGTCAGCAGCCACGTTAAAATCTTCTCTCGCCAGTGAAGTCTCTACCACGTCAGCAATTCTGGCGGTAACTTCTTGTCAGGTCATCACTACCTCAGCACACGTATGCATGCCCACTTATCTGCGCGCCACCCGGCGCGTGCACACGTGTGAATGTCGTCGTCGTCAGGAGAACTGCTCTGATACCAATTTGCAATAAACCCAGATCGCGAAGACAGTTGTCAACAATGCAAGTCCAAATGAGTGTCAACCAGCTGATGATTATCAATAATCGTATTCGTGTCCAAATACCCAAGAGAAGAGAAGACATACACAAACGAGGTAGATGAGAGGGAGGAAAGACTTAGAGTGGGGAAGATAGAAACAATGCCCACTGCTTCTTTGGGGTCCCTCTGCAATCACCACCTCGATAATCAATAATCTGAGCGAGTATCTGAAGTAACCCCAATGTGCCAAGTGGCACGTCTAATCAGTCCCTCATCAATGCTGGAGCAATGTCGACATGAAGACAACTAGGTAAGTATCCACGATCTCTCCACAGTCACAATCTCTCCACAGTTTTAATCTCCTCCTGAATGACGATAATCAGAACAACAACACAAATCACATAGCTTCGCCTCGTCAACCAGTAGTACACATGGCAGCAGCCATGTCAGCGACAGCGCATGGCAGCTGCCACGTCAGCATGGCAAGAAGACAGGTGCAAGCCAGCCACCATGCTGGGCCAGCAGCACGTCGCCGTAGACACAATGCCAGCACAGAGCCAGCGCTCAGCCAGCTTCGCCGCGTCGAGTTAGAGTCGCTGTCAACGCATGAAGACAGCATCGATGTAAGACAGAATGAATGTCAAAGCCAGGAAAGTCAGCGCTTATGTAGCGTTGACTCGGGGTCTGGGCCCCGGATACTACCACCCTCAGCCATCCAGATTTCGAT